AAAATACATATGTACACATACATAATACATGTATTTATACATATATACATATATATAGATAGTTTTGAAAAAAAAAAAAAAAATCTAGTCCTAGTCCAAGCATACACCAAATGCAGGATAAGTGTTATCCAACTTAGACCAAGCCAAGCCAAGCCAAGCCAGTCCCTAAGCATAGTCCATGCCAAGACAGTCCTGTGTACTAAACGAGCCCTTAGCTTCTGTAAGTACAAAAGCCAAATAAACTTGTTAGAATAGCTTGGTTATAATAGCTTTGTACCTTTGTTATAATATAAAAGTAAAACACATGTCCAAGTAAAACGGTTGCGTTGCGAACTATACAAATTGCTAACCCTAAATAGTGTGAATGTGCAAATAAAAAACAGAAAAACAGACCTTCTGTTTTAATCTATTTATTTATTTATTATCAAAACATCATAGAGCATCACTTGATTTATTATAGTAATAAGGGGCCAACTTGTTCATAAAATGAAACACTACCTACTGGAAAAGCTAAGGCATACGGTTTGATTGGTCAATTGTAGTAGGCAAATATTTAATTCTGGCATATGCCAACTTGTTTAGACATGATTGAGAGCCAAGTACAGGAAAATAGTAATAAGGGACCAAATCTTCTAAACAAGACGATGACAACACAAGTAGTAGAGATTGCATATGGTTAGATGGAGGACACGCAGGGCCACATATGTGCAAATTGGTGAAGACAACAATGGCGGTTTGATAACTAGAAAAATAATGTTTGCCTTATCTTATCAATCACCATGCATTCTGGTTGGTATCTGTTTTCGGCCCTCAATCATGTCTTAGTCATCCTTTTTTCCTGTACTTGGCTCTCAATCATGTCTAAACCAAGTTGTGATTTTTTTTTTCTTTTTTTCTTTTTGTTTTTGTGGTTTCTATTTCATTAAATAATTTTATAAAGAGACCACGTCGAATGTCCTGATGTATCAAGAGCCGAGCATTGTCCATATATTAATGAGCCCGCTATCCTTGACTTTCCCTCGTAGCTAATGGGAGCAATATACGTAATAATACTATTCAATTACTACTAAGTGGACGGCATAGATAGGATAGGATAGAGACACAATTGAATAGATAGCGAGCTCATTAGCTAAGTAAGGAAAGATGTTGTCACTACTCACTATCGTTTGACTTTCCCTCTTCGCAATATAAGTAATAATACTTAGCTAATGGGACGCTTCCTTGACTTTCCCACACTTCTCTTCTCTTCCTATTCACATAATTGAAAGATGTTGTCATAGGTTTTATTTTAAGGATTTTAACATACGCAACATAATTTCGACTTTGTATGTATTCATTGAAGATTATCTTTGCCTTACCAATCAATCACCTGTCCCATCATACCGTACGCATTCTCGTTGGTATCTATTAACAACTAATTAGCATTATCTTAGATCCGGTTTGATAATGATTTAAATTTTAGTTTTTAGTTTTTATTCTTTCGATTTTTGTGCTAGAATACATATGAAAAGAAAGGAGAATGGAAGTGAGAATGAGATTAAGAGAGAGATATTGACTTTCATCGTCCTAATTTGATGAAGTGTGAGTCATATATGAATAAGTATAATGAAATTATTTAAGAAGATCAGGTTTATACTCTTATGGATGAATTAGATAATCGACTTATGCGTATGTTCGCAGGGAGGATATCCTGCACTTTCCATATGTATTGTAATGTGTAATTGGGCTTGGATATTGTGGCCACTTTATTGAATCTAACTTTAATACAAATGTATAATTATAAGTTTATAACATAATTGTGCAAAACATCATCCATCTATGCTCTTGGTGATAGACAAATTAATGAAGAATCATGTGTCATAGTAATGTCCTTGGCTTGGTTGCTACTTAGAGCCGTTGTTTGTTAGCAAGAATAAGACGGTTGAATGGGAAAATCTGATATTATAATTGGTGGCCTTCCGCACTTTATTGAATCAAGTTTAATCAATTAATTTAATATAATACAACATATTTGTACCCAATGCATGTCATGTTTATTTTATATATTAATTCATCTTTTATATATACACAACACAAATGAAACACTCATTTTTTTCGTTATCGAAAATAATAGTGGTTTTTTTAGCAGATCGTCAATAAAAGTTAATCAGATCATCTATGATCATTTTTATATTGTTTGTGCCTGATAAATCACGGCCATGAGCTGGCCAAAGGAGCCCTTTCTCTCGGCCCTGGTACTTGTTCGCAGAGGCTGAAACGCAGCGTTTCGCCAGGGCATTTCGCCTTCCTTAAAGAATAAAAGAAGAAATGCTAAGACATGATCATCTCGGCCTCAAACGTAGGCCGAGGCCGAGGCCGAACAAAATTGCGGCCAATGCATTAAAGGCAAATCATCACGTGACAACAGGGTCCCAGGCTTCATTTAATGAAGTAGTGCATGTTTAATGCAGCGAACTCATTGGCCACAAAGTAGCATTTAATGCATGAGGAAAGGTGGGAAGTGACTGAAGTCAAGATTTGGTGATGAAGATCATAGTGATTAGACGTGGACATTCTCACAAGGATTCTGACAGCTTGAGATGTTGGTTCACCAGCTATCCAGGCAATAAATGCGTCTCCACGGCCAGAGGTTCAGAACCCACGATCGAG